TCTCTCTCTCTCTCTCTCTCTCTCTCTCTCTCTCTCTCTCTCTCTCTCTCTCTCTCTGTGCATGAGAGAGGGAGAAGGAGAGAGAGACTTGATTTTTCTTTCATTTTTAAAAATCTGTCTGGGTATTTTTGCCTGCATGTGTGTCTGTGCACCACTTGCATGCTCTGTGAAAGGCAGAAGAGGGTATCAGATTCCCTGAGACTGGAGTTACAAATGTTTGTGAGCCACCCACTTGGGTGCTAAGAATCAAACCCAAGTACTCTGGATGAGCAGACAGTGCTGTTAACCAGTGAGCCATCTCACCAACACCTTAGCTAGTAGCTTTCTTACACAGAGCAGGACCACCTGCCTAGGGACAGTGTTGCTCACAGTGGTCTGGACTGTCCTGTAAAAATATTTGTACATGGAGACATGTCCGCGTACCAATCTCATTCGTTAAATTCCTCAGTTGAGGCTTTCTTCTCCCAGGACTCTAGGCTATTTCAGGTTAAGAAAGGGAAGTAGATGTTTTAGTTACTTTTCCTGTGAAAAAAAATATGACCAAGGTAACTTATGTTTACTGATGCTTATGAATCCAGAGGGTTAGAGTCCATAATTATCATGGAGGGGAGCATGGCAGCAAAGCAGGCAGACACTGAAGCAATAGTTAAGAGCTTACATCCGTCGGATCTTCAAGTTGGAGGCTGAGACCCAACTGGAATGGTGTGGGCTTTTGGAACCCCAAAGTCCACCCTTAATGACACACCTCTCCCAAGAAGGCTACACCACCCACTTCTTTTCAAATAGTTTCAGTAATAGAGGACCAAGCATTCAAACATAGAGACTTTGGGGGGCCATTCCCATTCAAACCACCGCACTAGGATGCTAAATGAAGATCACTCACAAAGAACACGTACTATATACTTCCATTAATATGAAATGTTCAACAGAAGCATACCCATGGAGCCAGAAGTCAGCTGCCCAGAGCTGTAATGACTGAGGAGAAGAGAGACTGCTAATGAGTAGAGAGTTTCCTTTTAGGTGACAAAGAGGCTAAGTCAGGGTGATGGCTACATGGCGAATATACTAAAAATCATTGTATACTTCACATGGGTGTCCTTTTTATTTATAGAGTGTCAATAAAGCTTAAGATCAAAACAACTCCCGAGTATGGGAATTATGGTGTTGTGGTATCATAAACATTTTGAAATGAAGAAGGTGTTAGGCCAGCAAGACGACCTAGCATAGAAAGGCTCCTGCCACCAAGCCTGACAACCTGAGTTTGAACCCTACTAAACAGGATTCACATGATAGAAGGAGAGAACTGACTGCCACAAGTTGCACACACATGATTAACTTAAGAAAACCTCACTGGGCAGTGGTGTTGCATGTCTTTAATACCAGTGCTTAGGAGGCAGAGGCAGATGGATCTCTGTGAGTTCAGGTCAGCCTGGTCTACAGAGTGAGTTCCAGAACAGTCGGGATAACACAGAGAAACCCTGTCTTAAAAAACAAAACAAAAATAGAATTTGAAGGAGTGGAGGGTGAAGAAATGGCTCAGCAGTTAAGAGCACTTTTAAGACACCCACAGACATCAAATATAATCATTGAAGTTTTTATGTTTGCCTCCAGCATGTGTGTGTAGTACCTACAGAAGTGGGAGGATCCTCTAGGACTGGAATGACAGAGGCTGCGAGCCACTGCATTGGTGCTGGGAATCATGCCTCTGCAAGAGCAGCAAGTGCTCTTACATTCTGAGCCATCTCTCCAGCCCCCACCCCCACCCCAGCTGAATTATGAAGAGTGAATTGAAGTAAGAATTGAAGTATGTCCTTCACAATGAAGGACACTCAAAAGAAAAGAGGTAAAGGATTTGTACTCAGTCCAGGTGTCAGTGGTGCAGGCCTTTAGTCCTAGCACTCAGCAGGCAGAGATGTGTGAATATCTTGAGTTGGAAGCCAGTATGTTCTACACAGTGAATTCCAGGACAGCCAGGGCTCCACAAAGAAACCCTGTCTTGAAAAACAAAACAAAAGAATTTGTACTCAGGTTGTTCTTGGTGGCTGCCAGCTATTCTGGAACTAGGAAGGAGACAAAAGAAGGATGAGCTAATAGCCAACATAATGCCCTCCTACAGAGATACAGAGGCAGAACTCAAGAATGAAAGGTAAGCAGATTAACTTTGGGCATACATGCTAAGAATATAAAATCTATGCCCGTGCCCTTTCCCTCATCCTGCTTGTTCAAGGCCATTGTACGTAGAGGGAAACAGAAAGTAAAGAACTTGCCCAAGGTTGCACTACTAAATGGCAGAAACACACTTTGAATCCATCCAATTTAACTTTAGAGAGCAAGACTTCAGACTGCTTTCACACTGTTCTGCCTTTTTAATGTGTTAAGCTCTTGAGACTTAATTCTCCCTGGAGAGCTCTTAGAGCTTCAAGCAGCTGCTACTTTGTTTTTTCTTTATTTTTCCATAGTGTCCTTTTTCTCTTGTTTTCTCTGTCAATAGAACAGGTGGAAGGGGCTGGAGGGACAGCTCAGGAGTTAAGGGTATTGGTGCCCCTTCCAGAGAACCCAGGTTCAATTCCCATTCACAACATGACAGCTCACAACCATCTATAACTCCAGTTCCAGGCTATCTTGATGTCCTCTTCTGACCTCTGCAGACACGGGCACACAAGTAGTACACAGACATATATGTAGTCAAAATAAGTCAATACACATACATTAAAAATACTTAAACTAATTTTTAAACAGCAGATGGAAAAGGAAGATAGTAGTTTGACTCAAAGGCTAGCCTGATCTTTTGTCCTCTCCCCCAAATCCTGAGATTCATCTGACTGTCCCCAAGCTATTTCCTTGGGTTTAG